CTTGATCTGAGTCATAATTTCAAGCCCTGCATTGGATTTGGAGCCTACTTAAGAAAAATGAAAAGTAGGGCACCTGAGTGACTCAAGTGGTTGAGCGTCTGCCCTTGGCTCAGGGTGTGACCCGGGGTCCTGGGATAGTGTCTCACATCAGGCTCCCCACAGGGAGCCTGCTTCTCCCTCTGCCTATGTCTTTGCTTCTCTCTGTGTGTCTCTCATGAATAAATAGCTACAATATTAAACGAAAAAGAAAGAAAAATTAAAACTATAAAAATAAACTTAAAAGACTTCAGAATTTCTCTAGAAATCAAATCATCTAACTAAGGGGAACTTGTCATAGTTCCAAGAGGAACTTGTTCTTACTGGATAGTAAAAATATGAGTAGTTTTTATGTTCTCCTTTGTGCTTTCCTGGATATTTAAAAATATCTACAGTAAAAAAAAAAAAAAAACTACAGGGAACATTCATTCATTCAACAAGTATCTAAGGAACAACTACTGACAGGCACTGTTCTAGGTGCTGAAGAGAGAACAGTGAACAAGCCAGAAAAAAAATCCAGGCACCCCTAACCTGGAGATTTTAAACAGCTTTCAAAATTCTTATTTTAATCCCTGCCCAGGATACAACCTGTATGTGGTAGCCCTGTTGTCCTATATCTCCATGGTGGGCAGTAGGGAGGGAATTACTGCCACCAACTCTGGAGACTTGAGGTATTCAGCAGGTATAAATCAGGTTGGGGACTGCCTCGGTGGCTCAGTCAGTTAAGCGTCTGCCTTCTACTCAGGTCATGATCCCAGAGTCCTGGGATTGAACCCCACATTGGGCCCCATGTCGAGCCCCACATGGGGCTCCCTGCTCAGTGGGGAATCTGCTTCTCCCTCTCTCTCTGCCCCTACCCCCAGACTTGTTGTCCCTCTCTTTCTCTTTCTCTTAAATAAAATCAATCAATCAATCAATCCAGGTTGGGCCTCAGCTTTTTCCACTTTTTTAGGGTTCAGGTTTCTCCAGGTTAACTTAGTTAACACTTACTTGTCTGTTTGCTTTCCGGCTTCTACTTTTTTACTTTTTTTTTTTTCCGGGAATTTTTTACTTTTGTTTTTCCTACTGGCTTCTCTCATTATTGTGGGTTTGTGCTTAAAAAAAAAAAAAAACCCATTATAGTCATATTCGTAGTGTCATAGGAGGGAACAAAAGTAGATCTGTGTATTTATCCTCATTAACTGCTTAACTCTCATCACTTTTGAGGAACATTTTCCTACCCTAGTTTATTTATTTTTATTTTTTTAAAGATTTTATTTATTTATCAGAGACAGAGAGTCAGGGACACAGGCAGAGGGAGAAGCAGGCTCCATGCAGGGAGCCTGACATGGGACTGGATCCTGGATCTCCAGGATCACGCCCTGGGCTGAAGGCAGCTCTAAACCACTAAGCCATTGGGGCTGCCCCTACCCTAGTTTAAATTCTCTCTTGATGCTATTCAAATCCTTATTCTCCTCCATTTGTCCTTAGGTACTTGAAAAAATATTTATTTTTATGTGTAGGGGATTGTGATTTAGGAAGAATTCACTGTCATTTACATATTTAAGATTTTAAGTAGCAGTAATTATCTGCTAAGATAAGTAATTATCTGATAGAGGAAATTATCTCTTTCCTCAGCAAAGCATTAATAGAGATGAGACACACACATATTCAATTTTTTTTTCAAATTTTTAAATTATGTATGTAGAGGGATCCTTATGGCAGCATTGTTTGTAACGGCAAAGGACTGCAAAAAACCTATAGGCAGGTTAAATAGAGGACTTGTTAAATAAAACATACCAATCCACGTGGTAGCATATTATACAGTTAAAAAGAATGAGGCAGATCTTTATGCTCTGGTATGAAAGAGCCTGTAAGGCAGAATAGAGTAAGTAAAGTATGCGCTATCATCTCCATTTAAAGATACGTATCTATTTCTGCAACAGGGTTACCTCCTGGGAGGGGAACTAGGTGACTGGGAGACAGGAAGTAGAAGACTTAGTTTTTCCCTTGTATAACCTTTGTAGCACCTGCATTTTATACTACAGTTTTATATTACTTCTTTTATTATTTTTTAAAAAGATTTAATTTACTTATTCATGAGAGACACAGAGAGAGGCAGAGACATAGGCAGAGGGAGAAGCAGGCTCCATGCAGGGAGCCCGATGTGGGACTCGATCCCTGAACCTCAGGATCATGCCCTGAGCCGAAAGCAGAGCTTAGCTGCTGAGCCATCCAGGTGTCCCTATATCACTTTTTTTTAAGATTTTATTTATTCATTCATGAGAGAGAGAGAGAGAGAGAGAGAGAGAGAGAGAGGCAGAGACACAGAGGGAGAAGCAGGCTCCATGCAGGGAGCTCCACATGGGACTCGATCCCTGGTCTCCAGGATCAGGACCTGGACTAAAGTTGGCGCTAAACCGCTGAGCCACCCAGGCTGCCCCCCTATACCACTTTTTAAAAAAATAAAGTACTAGCAAATAGTTTTTTAAAGAATGAGCAGGAGTGCCTGGTTGGCTCAGTGAGTTGAGTGTCTGACTCTTTCTCAGCTCAGGTCTGAATCTCCTGAGTTCTGGCCCCACGTGGGGCTCTGTGCTGGGCATGGAGCCTACTTAAAAAATAATAATAAATAAAAGAATGAGCTCCATGGCCTTTATCTGACATAATGCTCTCTCTTGATGACATCCACCTTTCCAAATGTTACTTCTTTAAGATGGATGTTAATTCCCAAATCCCTTTCTGGACAGCTCCAGCTCAAGTACTCCCTCACCTGATCTCCTTTGTTAGAAATGATTGTGTGCGGTAAAATTGTCACACACTAACTTGCTACCATACTGCTGCTGCTTTTCTTTTCTTTTGTAAGATTTTAGAGAGAGAGAGAGAGAGAACACAAGTGGGAAGGGCAGAGGGGCAGGGAGAGAGAGAATCTCAAGCAGACTCTATGGAGTGCGGAGCCGGATGTGGGGCTAAATTCCAGGACCCTAAGATCATGACCGGAGTCGAAACCAAGAGTTGGATGCTCAACCGACTATGCCACCTAGGGGCCCCTGCTGCTTGCTGCTTCTTTTAAATACAACCATCTTGTATTAAACTTTCCATCTTGTATTTTTGTTTGTGTTTTACTGAGCCTTTAAGGGGTTGCATGGGGGTCTTACAAAATGAGGAGTGGCCAGTGGAGAATATGTGAGCCAGTAAAAGGGAGAGAGTACATGAGAAAGAGTTTGAGGCTCCCCTCCTGACATACAGTCTTTCACAGGCACACAGTGAGCAGAGATTCTTGTGAATCAGGGACCCCTTTTATAAACTCCTGCAAGTCCTTGTAAATATAAGGCCTTCACGTTTTACATTGAATCCACCCAATTATCATGACATCACTTTGCTAAAAGCACTTGCATTCAAGGGGTGAGAGGTTGGGAAACAGAAGCAAACATTTTGAAGCAAGACTCACAAAATTTTAGACCCAAAAGGGCCTGAAGATCAACTAGTCCAGACCCTTACTTCCTATGTCCAAGACAAGACATTGGAGGAATTCAGGCTCAAACTCAATGTCTCTTCTTAAATTCAGTTGCAGGACACAATCCCGGCTGTTGGAGCAGAGGTCTGGCCGGGATGAAAGATGGGGTCTTTCCACAGCAAGAAAGACAGGAGGGAAGAGGAGCAAGCAGGAGGCGAAAAAGGTGATTATTTTGTCTCCTGCATAATTGTGTCCAGGCTCCGTGGCGGTCTGTGTGTGTCTAAAATTCTCTATTAGCAGAAGCCAAGTTAAGATAATCAGAACTGGTTTGGAAAGCTGAAAACCTCAACTTCCCCTAACCCAGCCCAGTCTGTTGACTTCCAGAAACCAATGAACTTCAGGTTCCAGCTCTTTAACGAGCCTTTCACATCCCCCCTTTTCCACACCTGGAGAAGGAATGTCAAGAAAAAAAAAAAAAAAAAAAAAAGAGGACGCAATACAAACGGGGGCGGCTTCTAGGGCATTTTCAGCAGATTCCCCAGTATCTCCTGTATCCGGAAAGTGAGACCCGTTTAACCATAGAGATACTACTGGCCTCGGACTTGTTTCCTTCCTTTTCTTTGCTATTGAAATCTTTGCTCTGATTAAAAAAAATCTTAAAAGGGATCCCTCGGTGGCAGAGCGGTTTGGCGCCTGCCTTTGGCCCAGGGCGCGATCCTGGAGACCCGGGATCGAGTCCCACGTCGGGCTCCCGGTGCATGGAGCCTGCTTCTCTCCCTCTGCCTATGTCTCTGCCTCTCTCTCTTCTCTCTCCCTCTGTAACTATCATAAATAAATAAAAATCCAAAAAAAAAAAACTTTAAAAAATTATTTCAAAAAAAAAGGGGGGGGGCAGCCCCGGTGGCTCAGCGGTTCATAGCGCCGCCTGCACCCGCGTGCTCAGGACGTTGATTCCTGGAGACCCAGGGATCGAGTCCTGCATCAGGCTCCCAGCATGGAGCCTGCTTGTCCCTCTGCCTGTGTCTCTGCCTCTCTCTCTCTCTCTCTGTGTGTGTGTGTCACTGATGAATAAATTAAAAAAAAAGATCTTAAAAAAATCATAAAAAATCTTTGATTGCAGTAAGACACCTCACTTCTGCGGACGCCGGATCCTGCAGCCTCCTCTCTTTTCTCTCATCTCTCGTCTCGGTGCAGGGCGCGGGGACGCGCTTTAAAATAGAGCGAGTGCGTGCAGCAGAGCGGGGGAGGTTCAAAGGAGCCGGCCCCGCGCAGACTACAAGTCCCAGGAGGCCCCGCAAGGGACGGCGCGCTCTAGTGATCCTTCCGTCCCTCTGCGGGGGAGCGGAGACAAAGGTTCCGGTGGCGGCGCACTGCGGGTCGGTTTGTTTTCCGCCGCGGTGACGGAGGTTAGACGCCCGGCCGGCTGCAGGCGGGGGCGTCGGGAGCGGCGGGAGGCGGGTTCCTCCTCCCCGAGCACTCGGGGGCGGGGGGGGGGGCGGGCAGGAGGGCCGCGGGGCCGGCGGGCCGGGGACCCAGCCGCGCGCACCGAGCCGGCCGCGAGATGGAGGGCGACGCGCTGCCGCGGGGGAGCGAGCGCGTGTCGGGTCCCGGCCCCGGCGGCGGGACGGTCCGCGAGCTGTGCCGGGGCTTCGGCCGCTACCGCCGCTACCTGGGCCGCCTGCGACAGAACCTGCGCGAGACCCAGAAGTTCTTCCGCGACATCAAGTGCTCGCACGGCCACACTGGTCCCTCCTCCCCCACGGGCGGCGGCGGCGGCGGCGGCGGCGGCGGCGGCGGGGACGGGGACGGGGACGGGCGCGGCCCTGCCGGCGACGTCGCCGAGACCGGGCTGCAGGCGGGTAAGGAGGGCGGCGGCGGCGGCGGCGGGGACGGGCCGGGGTGGGGGGGGGGCAGGCCGCGCCCCTGTGCCTGCAGAGCGAGCGGCGAAGGGAGCGGGAGCAGCGGGAGCAGCGGGAGCAGCGGGAGCAGCGGGAGCAGCGGGAGCAGCGGGAGCAGCGGGAGCAGCGGGAGCAGCGGGAGCAGCGGGAGCAGCGGGAGCCGCGGGAGCCGCGGGAGCCGCGGGAGCCGCGGGAGCCGCGGGAGGAGCAGCGGGAGCAGCGGGAGGAGCAGCGGGAGCCGCGGGAGCAGCGCGGCCGGGGGCGGGCATCCCTCGGGGCGGGGGCGCCCGAGCAGGCCGGGGCACCCGCGTGGGCTGTGCGTGCGGCGCGCGCGGGGGACCCCGTGGAGGCTGAGGGAACGTCCCCAAATGGGGCTGGGGTCGCCGCAGCGCATCCCTGGACGCCAGGGAGCTGCCTGCCTGAGCGGTTGCTTGTGCTTATGCTGAGAAAGTTAGGGGACGTGCAGTAGGGGAGACTTTGGGGCTGGCTGGCTTGCATTTATTTTGTATTTATTATTTATTTATTTATTTATTTATTTATTTTTATTTATTTATTTATTTACTGAGACTTCTTGCCTTGCATCTCTCTGGGATGTGCTGGAGTCTCTAAAGCACTTAAAGTTGTGTTTTTTTTTTTTTTTTTGATTTTTCGATGTGCTGGAGTCTCTAAAGCAGTTAAAGTTTTTTGTTTTTTTTTTTTTTTTTGATGCGCTGGAGTCTAAAGCACTTAAAGTTTTTTTTTTGATTTTTTGATGTGCTGAAAAAAAATAAAAAAAATTTTTTTTGATGTGCTGGAGTCTCTAAAGCACTTAAAGTTTTTTTTTTTTTAATTTTTGGATGTGCTGGATTCTCTAAAGCACTTAAAGTTTGTTTTTTGATTTTTGGATGTGCTGGAGTCTCTAAAGCACTTAAAGTTTGTTTGTTTTTGTTTTTTTTTTAAGGGAAAGGAGGTTATTTGGTTCTCCCCATCTTTTTTTTTTTTTTTTAAGATTTATTTATTTATTCATTCAGAGAGAGCAAAGAGAGAGGCAGAGGGAGAAGCAGGCTCCCTGCAGGAAGCCCGATATGGGACTCGATCCTGGGTCTCCAGGATCACACCCCGGGCTGCACGCGGCGCTAAACCGCTGGGCCGCCGGGCCACCGGGGCTGCCCTTTTTTTTTTTTTTTTTTTTTTTTAATTTTTTGATGTTCTGGAGTCTCTAAAGCACTTAAAGTTTTTTTTTTTTTTTTTGATTTTTTGATGTGCTGGAGTCTCTAAAGCAGTTAGGGTTTTTTTTTTTATTTTTTATCTATTTATGATAGTCACAGAGAGAGAGAGAGAGGCAGAGACACAGGCAGAGGGAGAAGCAGGCTCCATGCACCAGGAGCCCGACGTGGGATTCGATCCCGGGTCTCCAGGATCGCGCCCTGGGCCAAAGGCAGGCGCCAAACCGCTGCGCCACCCAGGGATCCCTCTAAAGCACTTAAAATCGTGCAGGGGCTTCGATCTTTCCTAATTTCTTGCTGCTTCTTCAACTGCTATTGGCGGGGAACCCGAGGGTTTGTCAAGTACTGCGTCTAATTAGGAAATAACTTAGATTGGAAGGGAGAGGGGACTGGCATCCCATGTAGACAGGTGCCCTGGAGCCAACATAGCAAACAGGTCAGTGGGTTTAATTTAGTGATTCTCAAACGTAAGTGTGCACTAGAATGAAATTAGCATTAAAAACGTCTTTTAGCTCCACAGAGTACGTTTTGTGGGTGGATCCTGAGAATCTACGCATAAAACGCTGCTGGGATTCTCTTGCAAGTGGTCTGCAAACACTCTCTGGGAAACAAATTTAGATGCTAATAGCACATCTGAACGTGAAGCTCAGAACAGAATGAATTGTTGAGCTGTTCCAAGTTTGATGTTGGGTCCTGTGTTTCCAAAGTTGCAAGTCTGATATCCTAAATGTGTCCGAGACACCAGAAATGGTGATAAACGTAAGATAGTAAGATTCTGATGTTATCTTAAATTACATTATCCCATTTGGTTGGCTTGGGTGTAATAAACATGGGAAGAAAGGCCTGATAGCTTTTGTGGAGTTGTGGTTTTGACAACATATGCGCAGATTTGCTGCTCTGAAAATGGAACTATGGAGGCTGTCAGAGAACTGGCAAGAAGGGCGAATGTTCTCAGAGATGATCCTCAGAATGTGTACTTTCACCCTCCCCCTTCGCAAAGCTTTCCAGCAGCTTCCCTGCTCCCAAGTTTTTCTTATAACTTACCTGAAAGAGTCTTTTATTGCTGTTATTTTATAACAACTATTTATTTTAGAGTCACTACTGAAAAAAAAAAAAACAAAAACAAAAAACAGAGAGATGGAGGTTATCAAAGCACCTGGACACGCTCTTGTTTTTATTCCTTAAAAGCCAAGTTAAGAAAGACAAAGGTACCCTTTGTATTTTGCCTCATTGGCTTTTCTAGTTGACTGCATCATGAACTAATCTTTGCATATTGTATTTAACTAACTCTTTTCACCCTCTGGAGCCTGCCCATCTGAAATAAAAACTAGGGTAGAGTGCAGATGACTGGACCAGGAACAATTTGATTTTTTTCCATAAAATGCTTCCATTCCTTTCAGTATGGAGAGTTTTGTCTTTGGAGGTGAAAATGAGCATTAGGGAAAGTTAGTGAGGTGTCACTACTGTGTATATTTTGGGAATGCCATGTTTCCAGTTGTTTAGGTAACTGTTAGAAAGTGGAAGCCACTCCTTAGCTGACAACTAGCTCTTGTTTTACCATTTTACAGGCTGTATGTGCAAAGTGAAGTTCACTCAGAGCCTGTCTCAACTTTCTTTTGTGAATGTTTATTTCTGAATAAGAACTCTAAGAGAACGCTCAAAAATTTTTTTTAATTCCCTTTATCTAAAATAATAATAATAATAATAATAATAATTCCCTTTATCTATTTTACCCCAACCCCCCCCCCACCTGCCTCCTCTCTGGCAAACACTAGTTCTGTTTTGTCTCTTTTTTTCTTTTGTTTCTTCAGTTCCACATGAGTGAAAGGAACAGTCAATTCCTAACCTAACAAACCTCTAGAAAGTTGTGTGTTTTTTTAAAAAAGATTTTATTTTTTTAAGAGAGAGAGACAGAGATAGTGAAAGACAACATGAGCAGAGAGGAGAGGGAGAAACAGGCTCCTGGCTGAGCAGGGAGCCAGAAGATAAGACATGAACGAACATACGGGGCTCGGGATCCCAGAACCCTGGGATCATGACCTGAGCGAAAAGCAGATGCCTAACCAACGGAACCACCGAAGTGTCTCTATAAAGTTTTAATCGTCATTTCAGCGTGGAAGTGTGCTTCTAGTTTGGATGTAGTGTATTTGAGCAACTGAAAATCATTAACTCCAAATTTTTATTATTTTACTTTTAACCACAAAGGAGATGGGAAGGGCCCCCAAATAATGTTTTCTTCTTAATTTTGACAGTTTCGTGTTGGAGGCAGTTTAGAGAGTATATAATGTAGATGATGTTTTAGGAGCTAAAAAGTAGATTTGTAATCAAACTCTTAAAATAAGAGCAGCCTGGCCTGTACAAAGCAGAATGAATTACAAATGAAATTTCTTTAATTCCATTCCTCCTCTGCTGCCCAAATCATTGGCCTTTTCACTAGTTTAACTACAGGGTATGAGAGCCCCTTTATCTGTTAATTTTCCTCTCAGAAGCTTCAGAAGTAATGAGATAAAGGCTTTGAAAACTTCTTTGAAAAAAAGGCAGAATGGAGTGCTACAAAGTAGCAAAGGGAAAAGTATTTTTCTTGTTTTGTGATCCAACAGATCCTTAATTGTTGCAAGGCATCATAAACATTTGAAATGAAGACATTGGAATGATCAAATGTGTCTAGTTGGAATGCTCTCTGCTGTGCTGCATTCCTTCCATCCTGTTTCCACTCCTTAGTAACTAGATGACCTTGGGCACATCACAACTGCGCTGTGCCGGTTTCCTCATCTGGAACCCGGGATTATAACAGTAGTCTTGCCCCTAGGGTTGTTGGGAGTTGATATACTTTAATGTGTGTGCTTTAGTGTAATGCCTGCTACCGCGCTGTGTAGGTATTCTAGGTAGGTCGTGTAATTCCATAGTTATTCAGTAAACATTTAAGTATCTGGTATAGGGAACAGAGAGTCAAAAAAGACATTGGCCTTTGGTTAGTGGGAATCGGTCTTTCCCTTCTATACTTTTCTCCTAGGAAAGCAAAAAGAATTACAATTATCATCATCCCAGTGCACGAATGAGTTGTTTCTGTTGGAGAAGGGATCCAAAGGACTAGGAAGACCTGAAGTCAGTCCTCTAGAAAGGTCCAGTCTAACTGCAGCCCTATATGTAGGCAGCACCTAAAGCAGAAAAATGGCAGAGAGCTAAGTAAGGTGTGGTAGGTTATAGGCATTTCATGGGAGTTACAGTTCTTAGGTTTTTATAGCCCTATGCCTTTGGTTAGTGAACAGATTTGTGTCTCTAACATTCTTTACCCTCTCTTTTTCACACCTAGTATAAACTTGCTGCCAGAATTTAAAAGAAGAGGAAAAGCACTAGTGCAGCTTTTGGAAGTAGACATTTTTCTTGGACTCCTTAGATGGAAATCGGAATAGGGAGTTAAGTGGCAGAGTGACATCTGGGGGAGAGACAGAAAATTGGGAGAGCGGAGATTATTTACAGCCTGGTTTCATGTGGCTGCCTTCTTTGGGGGCTCTGTGGTGGGAAGTCGGTGTGCAGGGTGAAACAGCAGGAGCCTGCAACCAGCGTGCTCTCCGGTAGTTCATCCTGGTCTGTTCTTGCCCTTCAACATAATCTCTGCAGGGATGGTGCTATAACTGGTTCTTATGTATTACTTTTATTATCTCAAGCATATTGAAAACTTTTGCTTTCTCTCTCAATTTTCTCCATGTATGGAAGCAAAATAGTGGTCGAAAAGCGAGCACAAGCTTTGGAATC